AGTTTTCCGTTTTATTTCACAAAAAGATATACAGTGGTTACACTAAGTGTCCCATAAAACCTGTTTTTTTTACCCTTCTCTACAAAAACTCGGTCGATCCTTCTGAAACTTGACACATAGATTAATTAGGCATTGACAATAAGAATCACACTGCTAATTACTCCTAAATGCATCCAATAACAGTGCTTCATTTTCAAAAGAGAGAAAACTTGTGTTTCACAATAATTTATTCTTTATTTGAAATGCTCAAAATTTAGTATAACCGCCCTTTGCTTTGATGACTGCTTCTATACGTTGAGGCATGCTGCTATAGTATGCCTCCATGTCGCCTTTGCAAAATTTGTACTATTCTTTTTCGACCCTTGACCACAATTCGTCCAGATTTTTTGGTTTTGTATCATATCCGGCTAGTCTACACTTTAACTGTTTCCAAAGATGTTCTGTTGGGTTCAATTCGGAACTGTTAGGTGGCCAGTCAGCAATAAAGTTGACTTTGTGGGCTTTAAGCCAAGAAATGATAGCCTTTGCTTTGTGTTTTGGGTCGTTGTCTTGTTGAAAGATAGTTTTTTTGTGGATCCATACTATAATACTCCAATGTATCTAGGTATGACGACCCTAGAATTTCCAAATAGAATTTCCAAATAGCAATCGGCATCCATTGTCTTTTGAAGCACTCGAGAGGCATATCCTACTCCGGAAGATGTCATGCACCCCCACATCATCAGAGAGCCACCTCCATGCTTGAGCAATAGCTTGTAGTTATGGGGCCTCGCTTTAAACCCTTGCTGTAACCAAGTGTATGTTGCACCATCTGATCCCCAAAAATTGATCTAAGCCTCGTCGGTAAAAACGACACTCTCCCACTCATTTGCGGACCAGTTACGATTGTTGTGAGATGAAGAGAGAGTAGATATTCAATAAGAGAAAAGGTAAGAACACAGAGAAAGTCCGTTAGAACTTGTATAGGTTTTTATTTCTCCAAGAAAATGTTATCCTTCAATTGCTATAAAATGTCAAGGTATTTATACTTTTTCTTCTCGGTCAAAATATTGTTTTGGGTTAGCTTCTTGACTACGGATTGATTTGTTAGATCAGGAGTAATTAAGAGAAATGTCTTTAGAGGAAGTTGTCATCTCAGCCAATAGTACATGATCTGACCTGAACTTGAATAAACTATTACATATTTGTTAAATGCCAATGCTAATGTATTTGTCAGCTCTAACTGTCACTTTATAAGGGCCATTAATAAAAACAGAGTCATTAGGTTCGTAATCCCTGACTATGAGAATGATGTAGTACCTCTAGTAGAATGAGTGAATGTCAGTGACTATAGATCCATTGCAATTGCCATAGATGTGATCTGGTTTTTTGCCATGATCATCATGTATTGATCTATGCATATGAATTCATATATGTTCACAACAACGATATTTTAAGGCCCATTTGTATCTCTTTGAAAGGTGAGAAACTCTCAAAAGAATTTTCTTCTGCTTGAACTTTGAGTATAATCCTATCCTTTTCATCAGAGAGACTGTCCCACTATACGTCAAAGCAATACCCTGTCCAGACAACCAAGTTTGGACTTCTTTAACATTCTTCAATGCTCCAGTTCGGACTTTCATTCGTAGCAAACAAGCCGTAAGATGACCTACTCTTGATGGTCTACCGGTACCAGTGCAAGTTTTCATTTCTGGCAACTCTTTTCTAATACGAGAAACTGTTGATTTGGCAACACCTGTTAGTTTTGAGACCTGACGAATCGATTTGCCAGATAAAAGTGCAGATTTGACATTGTTTCGTTTATCGTATGGGAGGCTGTAAGGCATGATAATAAGGAGAAAAGGTATGTATATAGAATGAAGAAAAGAGAATTTTTTTCTGAAAAGCTTGCCGCATTTATATGTAGTCGGGTAGGTTGTGCTAGAATTTGCCGAAGAATGTGGAAAACGCACGACTGAGAATGCTTATTCGCCGAAGAAAATAAGGTATTCAAGTTTTGCAGGAAATTTTTTTGAAAACGCTACGTCATTTTTTACCTAAGTTGTCCAAAAATGGTATCTCTTACTAATTAGAGAAATTGAAGTAACCAGCAAAAAAATGCGCTTTTTCTGATACTAACACAAGGTCAATACGACGAAAATATATTAATTTATGCTTACAAATGAGTTTTATGGAACACTTAATGTAACCACTGTATATGAATTTATATGCATAGATCAATACATGATGATCATGGCAAAAAACCAGATCACATCTATGGCAATTGCAATGGATCTATAGTCACTGACATTCACTCATTCTACTAGAGGTACTACATCATTCTCATAGTCAGGGATTACGAACCTAATGACTCTGTTTTTATTAATGGCCCTTATAAAGTGACAGTTAGAGCTGACAAATACATTAGCATTGGCATTTGACAAATATGTAATAGTTTATTCAAGGTCAGATCAGATCATGTACTATTGGCTGAGCTGACAACTTCCTCTAAAGACATTTCTCTTAATTGCTCCTGATCTAACAAATCAATCCGTAGTCAAGAAGCTAACCCAAAACAATATTTTGACCGAGAAGAAAAAGTATAAATACCTCAACATTTTATAGCAATTGGAAATCAACATTTCTTGGAGAAATAAAAACCTATACAAGTTCTAACGGACTTTCTCTGTGTTCTTACCTTTTCTCTTGTTGAATATCTACTCTCTCTTCATCTCACAACATATGTCAAGAAAAATATCCCAAGGTATCTCTGATGAAATGGCTTTTTGCTCTTTTTGATCGAAACCAAGGTAACACGCTGCTGAAGAGTGCTTTAAGCCATCATCTACTATTTATGTCTACCAGCTCCTCCTTTCCTATTCTGCCTTTCTTTTCTCCAGTCTTGCGAAAACATGATATCTGCCATCAGTTCTCTATCATTTTTTTCATGTTTTAAGCATTTGACCATTTTGGAATTGACTTTAACCTACAGCATTTTCCTTTAATTAGGATGTTCTCTGACCTGCCCTATGACCATTGGCTCTATCGACATACAGAATTGCTTGCAATGATCTTCTTCAAGTTTGATGAAAACACACACCGGCTACGTCTACAAGTACGCACAGAGTATTCCAAGTTTCCCCTCTTATGCCGTTCGCTGTACAACAATATAATGATTCGACATTGCGTGCAGCTACAAACCTTTTTGATTCCTTATATCTATAATGAAGTGGAGCAAGTAAATGTTGAAGAAAACGATCAATCATTAGTGAGCCAATTGCATGACTCTCCTCTTTGGAGTCAATACACGTCCAAGGCTTACAGGATGCATAATTATTCCAGTGCTTCAAATACTCAATTGAATTTGCCATCTAAATTGCTGCGTCTGTTCTGATCTTCCTCAATGCCTTTATCTTCCAAAACTTTGTGGTTCAGAGTTATCAATAAGAAACTGCATACAGAAGCACAACTGTAGAGAGTCAATCGCGTTCCCAACCGTAATTGTTGCCTATGTTCTTCGAGTATTGACTCATTTGAACATTTCATTCTTTACTGTCCTTGGAAATGGACCATTTGGATTTAAGTCCTTACTTATTTCTATCCACAGATATATTTTTTAGCTGATATGATTTACCACCTACTCTGTCTCGAGTCCTGCCCTCATTTTTTACTGCCTGACAGTCGTCTCTTTACGGTTCTATCTGTCTGTCAATGGAGAATATGGTCCGCTTACTGGCGTTTCGCCTTGGACAATCAAACCTTTAACCCTGAGTGGGCCATTTCCGACATTATTAGTCTGACTTTGTGTTGTATACACAGTATTATTCATCCCTTCTTACACTAATTATGCCTTAAAAGGGCAAGTATTAATATCATGTATAAATATATCTTTCAATCACAGTTTTATCCGCAGCTTCGATGGATGTCTTCCATCTTAGTTTAAACATGTTAAAGATCAGACCATCACATAATCACAAATTGACATCTGCATCAATACCAATGGTAGACGAGGTCTGTGCCCTGATCATGTACCCAGTTCTTGTGTATCTTAATCCATTCAACCGATTAGCTAGTGTATACACACTCAGTCCCAAATCAAGGATAATCAATTATCATACAAATAGTATAAATACAATACAAAATATGACCTTTAATAAAGCAGACTTCTTTTGGCCGTTTTGGTTCTAATCGACTTATTGATTTGACCATTTTATTAGTGATTATATCACACTTTGATTTCACTACAACAACAACATTATTTGCTCGTAAACGCTTTTTGGGTCTCTCAATGACTAATTTTGTGCACTTTTTTCTCAGCTTATTCACGTTACATCCCTCTGTGATGTGTAACTAGAAGCATACATTTTAAATAAAAATATTTTACAAAAAAAAAAATTAAAAAAGCTGAGGGTGGTATATTGAACGTTTTTTATTTTGACACTCTAAGCTAAAACAGTAAAGAAAGTAGAATCGACACCTTAAAGATTTTAGTGACCACTTCTCCTACTGTCTTGTCTAAAACTCCGTACACCCAAAACGAGGGCACACAAATTATCTGACTTCACCGTAACTCAAGTGATTTTGAAAAATTTTATGATAAATTGTTTTTCCATTACTTGGGACTGTTTATTCTGAACAAAAAAAGGCGATGTAATGGTTGGAAACTCCGCCATTGACCAATAAGGAATTACCTAGAAAATACTAGAATGGCGTAGCAACTCATTAGTAACTGATATTCACTCGAACTTGCTAGAAATACTACGGTTTATTATCTTTTAGGAAAGTATAAATAGGATCGAGTTTTAGTCATTTAGAGAATAGTTTTTTTTTTTTAAATGATTTTATTTGCCGCACGTATTTTGTAACGCGATAGGGCTACAAAAAAGAGGTGCTCGACAATGCGTTATTATAAAGTTAAAGGAGATAAAATAAGGTTGAAAATGAGATAAGGACTATATAAAAGTTAGAACCAAGCGAAACAATGATGAAAAGAAGAAGGAGAGATGAAGGAATCAGTCGAGACAATTTGTCTCTTCAGCAGCGCGGCGGCCAACTGCCCGGAGGGTTTGACTGAATGCTATACTTGCAAGGAAGGGCTCTCTTCGATGCATATGAGTCCAATGAGCTTTCCAAAGTTCTGAGAGAGCAATGACAAGTAACATTTCGACTTCAATCGGACAGGAATTGTTGACATTGATTTTGTTGAAATCTAGGGATTGAAGAGCTGAGGAGATATCATCGATAGAGGTACCAGGCCAAAGAAATTCACGAATAACAATGTCCCAGAAAATGAATTTTTGGGGGCATCGAAAGAAAAAGTGGAAGACAGTTTCAACCTCTTGACAAAAGGAACAAAATGGGTTAGGAGCAGTGGAAAGAGCCATGTTGAAGAGAAGGGATTTGGTAGGGACTTTCCCAGTTAGCAAACGGTAAATAGAGTTACGCTGTACGCTGGTAAAAGTCATGCACCAAAAGAGCTTCCAAGCAGAAGGAGAGACAGAAGATTGACCAACAGATCCCTGCATAGATGCTTTTACCAATGCGGCTTTAAAAGAACGTCGAGCATATTGAAAGGTATCAAATTGAGGATCTGTAATTGGTAGGTGCAAGGCATGGATAAAGGAGTAAAATCCAGTAGAGCGCTTGATTGCTGGTACGTAGACAGGATTGTAAAGGTCAAGGGAAGAGGGGGCAAGGCATTGTTGAAAAAAGGGCTCCAGTTGACATCTACCATCATTGAAAGCTCTAAGAAACTTTCGGTTGACAAAGAACAGATCTCGAGGGATATTAGCCTCTACAATGGGTCGAAGGAAATGCCCTTGAGGATGATAGTCATATAGAGCAGAAACAAGAAGAGACCGTAGTTTCGGAGACAAAGTATAAGAGGTAGAGAGGCGGACGACTACAGAGAGAGGTACCAGAAGACAGTCAATTGAACTAGGCATGTATGTGTAATTATTGCGTGGAATAAGGTCCATAGTTCGACAGATCATTGTGACAGTGTTGGTAGCCATGAATCTAAACGAATGTGGACGAGCTCGAGAGAAAAGTAAGTGAAGCAAAAGATTGTCCGTTTGAAGTAGTTGGCAGCAATGGTGGAGAGCGAAATCATGTACTAGGCTACGTTCTGCTGTTGGGTGAATGAGCGGATGAACCCAACGGAAGTACAATGAGCTTTGCTTTGTCTCAGGATCCAAGACACCTAGACCACCAGATTTTCTAGGTGTAGTCATCAGTTTCCAACTTAGGCGAGGAAAAATACCATGAGTAACAAATGATGTGATTACACTTTTGATCGACTGAACAATGG